AAATTGCATTGGCAACCTTGGTGGTTGTGCTTTTATTTTAAGTTTATTTTAGTAAAAAAGTGTATGCAACTTTTCAATATTAAATTACTATATTTTTTATTAATTTTATTTAGCATACAACGTGCACACATAATAAAACAAACAAAAAATAATTTTAAACCTTTATTTAAATATGACAGGATTAGTTTCAATATTTTCATTGCCAAACCTCATTTAATATTTTTTATTATTTGTACTAGTACGTATTTTCTTAATATATGAAAGGTGCTCCTATGCGTTTGAAGTAACAACTGACGTAAATAAAGAATGGTGTAATTAAAATTAAATGTCTGTCTATATTTTTTCTTTTTCGCAAACAGGAAACTTTTGTGCTGATAATTTTAAAAGTAGGATATGAAAATAAAATTAATCAATAATCTGTTTCGATATGCGTGCGCATTGTTACGTTTATTGAAATTAAATATCGAATTGATAGAAAAAGTTGTGTAAATAGTATAAAAATAGATTTATTGCTTTCAAATAACCAAGAATAATGTGGATATGCTTTTATAAATACAATATATGCCTATACACATCATGTACGACCTGAATAATATCTTGGAATAGTACACTGAAGTTTTTCTAGTAGTCTGAATTCTGAATTATAATGGGTTCGTCAACAATACCTGTTTTACTAGTCACAGCAAATGTTGGCTCGATATTTGAGGATGTAAGTAAATTAAATGTGTAAATACAAATGTATAATACTGATTTATTTTAGCCGACTACAATGCTAAAAGTATGGAGTGAAGAATTTTTATCAACAGTTTCCAAACTTGATCCAAAATTTATCGCTTTACATTGCCAGGAAGTTGGTGGAAAAAACTATGAACTTAGTATGAAACATGTAGAAAATTTCGTAAAGTTACTCATGTCTAGTAATGAATTACGATTATTTGATAAGATCAGGGTATTCCTAGATGAAGATTACAGTTCTGCAGAAAATTTTACTGTATGTATAAAGTATATTTTTTTTCTTGTTTAATTGTGTCTTTCCTTTAGGCTTTGGGAAATTTATATTTTATACACAAATCTTTAGATAACAATTTAATTTGGGATTTTAAGGAAATGAAATTTATTCCAGTACTAGGTAAAGAAATTCATTCAGGTAATATTGAAGCTGTTGTTACCAAGGAAAAGGCAAAATTTCCTCAAGACTTCTTCCCAGAGGTTTGTGTTTATATCCTAAGGCAACGATAATTCTATGGAGTAAATATTTACTTCTATAATTTACAGTTCTTTAGTTTGGATTGCTTTGCCTGTACGCTATTTACTTTGCAGCAAATTAGGGCAATAATATATCTATTCAGTGGCGGATTTACCAGCAGGCTGAGTAGGCTGGAGCCTAGGGCGGCAGATTTTAGGAGCGGCAAATTTGGGGCAAAATATTTTTTTCATATCTTACAGAAATTAAAAACATTCATATTTATATACCTAAATGTTATTACGTCCACACAAACAATTCAACATGTAATGTGTTCCACCACTTAGATAAATTGTTCTACAATTGTAGACTTCGGTAGGGTCAGCAAAATTTAAATAGCCTACTGGCGACAAATGTGTAAATCCGCCACTGTATCAATTTAATGTGAAAATTATTTATTGTTATTATTCTTTCGAAATTATATTTTTATAATATACCAGTTGATTTACAGTGTGCACGTTTAAAAAATATAGAAAATAGTAATAGTTTTTAAAGTTGTCTTGACAAATCCATAAATAGCAATTAGATACAAACCAATAATAGAATATTTATTACCAAAATTAACCAACTAACTTCTGTATAACAGTTAAAAGATAGCTATAAAGTTTTTGTAGCAACTTATAAATTACATTAGAATTTCATTAATTTTAAACTTAATATCAAACAGGTATTGCAAAAGAGTTAAAAATATTAGCCATAATAAAATACAAAAATGCACTGTTACAAGTATTTTACTAACATGAATTGTAGCTTTGTTTTTAAATTGTACCTAAATCTTATTGGAAAGCTCTGTCAATTTCAGTAATCACAAAGTAAAAAATATATATGAGGCTAAATTAGCAAATGATTTGATTAGCTTTAAAATATGAATATTTCCCAATAATTCAACAATTGAAAATTTCTTCAGATTTAACGCAGTTTCATCCATTCTACTCTAAAGCTACGCTCTATCTACTGCGGAATCTGCACGCGGAGTACGCACTGCAGATTCCGCATGTATTACTTTGTGTATTACTAAATGCAGATGGTCTATGTACAGCGCACTCCGCATGCGTTAGAAAGTCATCCGTTGCGTATGTCAGTCGCAGTTGCTCTCGAGGCAACTTCGTTGATTTTTCCTCAGCAGTTGCTAAGCAAACATTGTGTATGGTGCATGTACATTATATTAGAATACTGTAAAGAAGCAACTATGACAAATGAAAAAACAAAAAATTATTGTAAATTTTACAAGAGCTGGATAAAATTTTAATTGATATTGTGGCACGATATCCTGCGCTATATAACGTTATTGTTTTTAAATGTTTTTCTATAAGAATTTTAGAAGAGCCTTCGAATTTTCTTTTTTAAATAACTGGTGGTCACTTCTTTCATCTAGCATGGATAACAATATATAAATCATCTTCCTCTTCTTCTAGGAGCAAATCTAGCATTGCATTATTTCTTTTTGCCATAGCTTAGTACACAAATTTTTAACACCAATTATTCAGTACTACACACTGTCAAAAATAAAAGAACATAATAATAAACAAACGCGGAATACGTATTGCAAATAGACCACCTTTAATGCGGAATCCGTACATGCACTGAGCAGTACATATTACACGTACAGACTCCACAGAAGATAGACTGTAGCTTAAGCTCACATTCGAAATGAAATGAAGAAATGTACCCCACTAAGGTTTTTAAAATGTTAAAAATTTTGTGTGAATATGATTTGCATAAAAAATAATATAAGAAAATAATGAATTAAAAAAAATAAAATTGAAAAAAAAAAATTAAGGCAGTAACTTTTAAATAACAGTAACTTTAGAACTCAAATAATCTGTTTAACTAATAATACTGCAGGAAACAACTACCCTAAAGACTAATGTCCCAACTATTTTATTGATTGATTTTATTCTAAGTTTAAATTGTATACTATGCAGCGTATTATGACATTTTAAATCTGAAAAATTTGTGAAGCTAAGCACAAATCATTATTCATTATTTGACAGTGATTGTTCATTTCAGGGATAGATTTACAAAGATAATTTTTGAGACGATAAAATTATGAATAAAATTTGCAAAATAAAATAGTGCTGCTGATCTTGAGATCTCAAAAAGGGTTGTATACATATTAGTGATATAACGAATATTTGCATCCACATTCGCATTTGAAAAATCCATACAATTATTTTGCTAATATGAATGTGAGAAAAAAACATATACAGGGTGTGCCATTTAACACTTCCATTGCCAATATCTCCGAAATGAAGAAATTTATTTTAGTTCCGGAAATTGGGGTTGTTAGGTCACCTCGAATAGCTTCAAATTGCAGTTAGAATTGTTAGTTTAAATCTTTCTGTATAGATGGCGTGGTGGTACTAAAAAATTTTTTGATCCCTGGAACTTGGAAATGCAGTCCATCTGAAAGCTCGTTAAATTTTGAGTAATTTTTGTAATATAAAGTTTTTCCTATACTTATTTACTTGTTTTCAAGATATGTCGACTTCAATATGCAATGTATGATGTAACAGGAACATCAATTGTTTCATTTAAATCACACTGAGGCAAAATATTCTTTTAAAATATTGTTATAATGACTTTATTCACACCACATACTAACTAACAAACAATAAATTATAAAAAAACAAATGATCAAGTACCTACAGAAAAACAATTGTAAAATGATAAATCGTATAAATAGTATAGTTAAATTGAAACACGCAAGCTGATGAAACTTTAATTATTGGAAAACTAATATGTGTCATCTGTCATACATGTTTTATTTTAAACAAATGATGAGCCACCTATGATTTCATTTTTTTAAAAACATTTGATAAAATACAGTTCGTCTCTGTTCCTTATAAGGTTTACCACTGGACAATTTTATTTTTCTGTAGTTAATCATTCGTTTTTTTCGTAATATTACAAAAATTACTCAAAATTTAACGATCTTTCAGATGGACTGCATTTCCAAGTTCCAGGGATCAAAAAATTTTTTAGTATCATCACGCCATCTATACAGAAAGATTTAAACTAACAATTCTAACTGCAATTTGAAACTATTCGAGGGACCTAACAACCACAATTTCCGGAACTAAAATAAATTTCTTCATTTCGGAGATATCGGCAGCGGGAGTATTAAATGGCACACCTTGTATATTTTAAATGTGAAAATAATATTAAATGAGACAAAAAATATTAATTCCTTAGCATTTTTGCAATTATATCTTTTATAAGCCTTTTACTTACTAACAATAGGTAATACATAAATCTGAATAATCGCATTCGCATTTGGCAATATCAGCCACAGATATTTGTATTTGCAAATGCCTAAAAATTAACAATGGTTACATTACTAGTACATATACAGTGGAGTCCAGCTACAAACGACATTCAATCGACAGTAAAATTGCTTCATACTAAACAGATGATGTATCTCTTTTACCTACATACTTTTGAAAAATGATAGCATCAAAGTTTTAGTATTTGTTTCTGTGATTTTAAATTTTTTTCAAATAGAACAACTTGTATATTTTTCCACGTTTGGATAGAAAATTTGACAGGACTTTAATAGTAAAGGGGCTGTGTTCAAACTGATGTACCATAAGCATAATTATATAAGGTAATCTAGAATTATGTACCACAATTTCTAGGGGTGATAGTACATCAAAAAATAATGGTACCTTTTTATGTACACTTTTTTTCAAAACTCAAGGAAGTGTAAAGGGGCGAAAAAAGAATCATTTTTTTTTTAATACTTCCGAACGCTTTTGAATAACAGGTTTATATTTCAGGTGTGAGTATCTATGCTTAAGACAATTATTTTTGTTACCATTTATTCCATCCCTTACGATTATGGGGTTGTTTTGGGTGGTAAGTGTGAATTTATTTGTCATATATTTTTTAATTTGCAATTTATTTAAAATATTTCCTAAAAAATTAATTTTCTAGAATATTCACTGTAAAAAAGATACTCTTGTTACATTTTGATAAATATCACTGTTTTCGAGTAATTTACGATTATAAGTTAACATGCACTTATATGTAAGGGTAACAGTTCTTTAATGCATCAAGTATAATTTGGAGTACAACTTTATCAAAATTCATAAATTTGAAAAAAAATTATGTAAAAACTTTACATTCTAATTATTATTTATCATAATATATTAATTGTTGCAAATGTCCCCCATTTTCTTGTATGTATAATCTAATTATCTTATTTAGAGACTGTATTATTCCTTTTAATGATCTTGCTTATTTCGTAAGTTAGTGAATTATTGTTCTAATTTGTCTCTCAAGTCATTTAACGAATTAATTGGAGTAAAGGACTGTAAAGTCTATTGGATTAAGGTCACAGTATCGAGCCGGCCATTTAATTGGAGCATCTGCACCTTTACCAATGCATTTGTTTGGGAAGTGGTCATCTAACCACCTTCTACAAATGTTTGTGTAGTGTGGTGAAGCACCATCATTGATGAAAAACATGTTTCTTCTTATGTGCAATGGAATATCTTCTAAGATATCAGGTAAAATATTATTTAGAAAGTCGAAATACATCTTTTCATTTATATTACCAGGAAATATGTGATATCCTAGGAATCGACTCCCTAAAGTTGCTGCCCACACATTTATTTTAAAAGTATGTTGAAAATGAGTTTCCATGGTAGCCTTGGAATTTTCTTCAGTCCAGAAATGCATATTTCCCAGTCCAGAAATGCATATTTCCAGAGTTAAACATCACTTGCCTTGTAAATGCGGCTTCATCCATAGAAAGAATGTTGCTTAAAAAAATGTTGGTCATTTTGAATTTTCTCTTGCAATAATTCACAAAAATCTACTCTTGAGTGGCATGTCGTCAGGCAATAGTTCCTGTACTTGTCTATAGTGATATGGGTGCAGCAGTTGTTCATGCAAAACTCTTGAAGTACTTGATGAGAAATGTTCATTCTTAATCCTAACTTCTGAGTACTTCCTCTGGGATCGTTCATTACCATTTCATTCTATTATTTGTTGTTCCATGTGAACTGATCTTGCTCTTCTATGACGTCCAGGCATCTGTATTTCTTCTCGTAAGATTGCAGAATTTCCTAAACATTCGCCAACACCAAAATTATGTCTGTTAACTCTGAATTTAAATAATTCACCATGGTTACGACAACAATTTCAAAAAATGATGTGCTAAATAAATTGAACTGTCGAGTCTGTTCGAGTCTCATTAAAATAGTTCAATTGTTTTTAAATTTCATTTCAATTTTACAGAACACTTGATATGAAAGTTTTGTTAGTTTTCTATTCCAAAAGAACTGATGCCCTTACATATAAGTGCACGTTGACTTATAATTGTACATTACTCAGAAATGGTAATATTTATCGAAATGTAACAAGTGTACCCTTTTTACGTAAAATAGCCTAGAAAATTGATTTTTTTTAAGAAAAATGTAGGGTGTTCCACTAAGGTCAGCGAGGTACGATATTAAGGAAAGTATAGGCCCTAGAGTTTCCTGAAAAAAATTTTAATTAATAAATCGACCAAGAGAAATCACTGGAAATAGTTTCCAAGTTCGTAGCTCGGCCGCTAAGGGGCGCAATCTATATATCAAAACATAGAGTTGGGTTTTTCTCAGAAATGTTTCCTATTTCAGTATATTAAATAGTACAAATAGCCGGATTCATTGCGCATAACTTTTGTTACTGACATTTTGTTCTATCTCCGGATGGAAAGGGTGGGAAAAGCCCCTAATGTCTGATCCCTTTTTAAGGATTGGCTGATCAAAAGCCCATAGTGTTATATGTTGAAAAGGTCTTTTCTCTCTCGTGGTGAATGGGTAATGTCATCTACCTCAATATGGAAACCTATAGATGGCGTTATTTAAAAAAAATGCCGTTTTATGTATTTTTCTTAAAAATTTTAAATGCAATACTATAGTTTTCTTTACATAAACGAATTCAGTTGATTCAGGCTTGGACGATTTATTAATAATTTTTTTTCCCTAAGTTCTAGGGCCTATATTTTCCCTAATATCGTATCTTGCGCCGACTTTAGTGGGACACTCTGTATATTTAAAAAATTGCAAATTAAAAAGATATGATGAATAAATTCATATTTACTACTCAAAACCACCCAATAATGGTAAGGGATGGAATAAATGGTAACATAAAAATAATTTTCTTAAGCATAGATACTCGCCCCTAAAATATAAACCTGTTATTCAAAAGCGGAAGATATAAAAAAAAAGTTGATTTTTTTTTCACCCCTTTACAGGGGTGTAACTCTTTCATTATTGAGTTTTGAAAAAAGCGTACAGAAAAAGGTATCATTATTTTTTGATGTACTATCTCCCCTAGAAATTACGGTACATAATTATGGACCTGAGTACATAGAGTTTAGACACAACAATCATTTCTGTTTAACAAAAAATATGTTAAAGTATATATCCTATTTAAGAAAAAGTATTTATTGAAATTGTGAGAAAACTTTTTAAAACCTTGACCCATACCATTTCTTTTTTTCTAATTTCAAATGTAGAAAGGTTTTTGTTCTTCTCTTGAATTGTAATACTAATTTTTGTGCAAGTAAAACATTGGTGCAAGTCTGCCAAATATATGCAATATGAGCATGTGTGTGCGAGACATGGAAAGAGTATACATTTTGACAAGGTTGTAATAACTAAATGATTGAACAAAACTATTCAAGATTAAGCGTTTGGCCTTTGTAAGCAATAAGATGTATTAACTAGAGTTGTCACAAGTGAACAGAAACCATATTTAATATATCTAGTCTGAAATCAAACTTATCAGTGGAAGTATGTCGCAATATGCAGTCATTAAAAGAGCAGATGCAATAAGCAAATTGCACTGTACCGTTATTTATTTTTTCATGATTATTGATGCAAGTAGGTCTTATTTTTCAAGAAATTTTTATTATTAAATAAATAGAACCTCGCTAATCCGACCTCGGGTGATCTGTGAATTAGGAAATGGCGGAATATCGCGGCAGAATCAAGGTTGTCGTCTGCTAAGCAAAGGAACATTACACACTTTTTTGCATTCGAACCATGCTCCTGGTCCCATAGGGGACAGATTAGCATAGTTCTACTGTACAAAGAAAATTTAATTTCATGAATAATAGAAAAAATACCTGATACTCTTTGATATCAATCAGTCCGATTTTAATTTTTTATTTCGCAAATTTCTTGTGCATATACCTACATTGTAAAATATATCAATATCAGTCTACAAGCACATTTACATATATACCTATATTTATAAACTTGAATTATTTTAGTGTAAATGGTCCAGAAAAGGTTTTATGCGTACTAGGTGGTCTTTAAATGGAACAGTTATTGATATGGTTAACATACATTTATTTCACGATGCCTCGAACTTTGTTGCCATGGAATCATATCCTTCAGTATATTGTAAAAATAGACGCAGAGCTTTAGAACATACCTTACAAAGATTCCACAATGATCCTTATGCAAAAGCACCATTCTTTTTATTTGGAGATTTTAATTTTCGAACTGATACAGATGGAGTTGTTAAGGTAATTTTTATGATTTTAACATACATAAATTTCTTATATTTATATATTTTTAGAAACTTACTGCTGGTTTGAAACCAACACGAGTGCAAAATAATAAAAACAATGAATCTACAAAAGTTCATTATACAAATGGGGATAGTAAATTGGTTCTAACAGTCGGCAAAAAGGAATTTAATCATTCGGACCACCAAACAGTATTCTTAAATCCTACTCCTGATTGGGTAAGTTTATTCTACTTACTGTCATGGGCATAGCTAGGGGGTAAGGAGTGTGCACGGCCCACCCCAGAAAAAAAAGATCTAATATGATATGACAAAGATGATAATCTTTGTCATATTGGTAAGTCGGTGACTGTGTAACCTTTTTTTTAGAATCAAATCAAAACCCCAATCAAAATTCGTAGCTATGGCTATACTTACAGTCAATTCAAATAAAATTTAATCATTGTTTCATTGATAGTGAAGCATTTACAAGTAATGTAATTAACGTAACCATAAAGGTCTGTAAAGATTTATATGAAGTGAATCAAATTCTGTTTTGTAGCATATATTGATGATCTCCATTCGCTTCAGTACATCTTGTGATATGTTTACAAAATGACACGATGAAAAATTTATTTGAAGGTCTAAACGCCAAAAACTGACTTTTGACTTATTTACGTCCTGAAACAGTTGAATTACAAAAAAAAAACAACAATTTTTGACACACCTGCCTATATATATTTTTTTAAATATGATGGGATGATTCGAAGTGTTGGTTAATATAATTATATGTTATTACAAAAATTCTTTATTTTAAAAATCTGTTGTAATATTATGTATTTTGTTAGTTAAAATCTTTTGACAAAGAGCTGGAAGCATTTGAAAATGCATTGACTGAATATCCTGTAACTTTTCCACCATCATATCCATTTGAAGAAAAATTAGCAAAAGCAACAAGTTATATGCAAACCAGATGTCCCGCGTGGTGTGACAGGGTCTTATTAAGCCGTAGTGCGAAACAATTAGTAAGTGAAGATTATAAGGTGGATTATGGATTGATTGGTATTAATACCTGCATGGGCGATCATAAGGTAAGTTATAGATCTGTGAATGTTTTCTAAGATTTTCTTTTTCTCTACTCATTTAATGCAGCCAGTTTTTCTGGAATTTCACATGTTGATTGCTGATGAATAAGGTATTTTTTTTTGTTCTTTTGATGCTGTAGTTAGAAGTTAGCTCTATTGTGTAGACATTATTTTTTTAGTCCTACAATTCCTCATCTATCTCTTATTTAGTAGTGTATTCCCAGTTATTTTAGAACTGATTTTTGACTACTATTATATAGTAATTTCAAATTCAAAATTTTTCAAAATGAATAAAGGCAGTATTGGTTTATGATCTTAAATTATTTATTACTTATTGGTGTAATTATTAATATGTTATAAATAAACAATTTTAAAAATAAATGTTGAAACTGATGGCAAACTATGATCACCATTTTGTTTAGCTATAAAGTTATGTTCTTAAATTTTGCTTAATTTTAATTGGTTGCCAACAACACAAATGAATCAATCCAGAATGGTAAGCACTGTTTGAAAAATGATCTTGGACTGTTCTTTGAAAACAATTTAAAAAGCAGGATATAAGCTGCTGCGTCAATACTAGTGATTGTAATATACTAAAAAATAACATCAAATATTTACTAGTAGCTTTACCATTTTTAGCAGTAAAATGATGACTCGCATATATAGCGTAAAACGGCAAGTTATACTTATGCAACAATCTTTAATAATTGTATGTATTTAATTACACCGTTCATGCTTCAAAAAATCTTGTGTGCAAGTTCCTCATGGGAAAATATTGGGGATAGTTCATGTTCAACACACTGTATCTCGAAAATAGGGCATCTAAGAAGAAAACGTTACATGAGCTACTCCCATTTTTTTCCCATGAGGAACTTGTACAAGTTTTTTTGAAACATGAACGAGACACCTTGTATATTTATTTAATGATACAGGGTGTTCCCCGAAAGGTCTGTACAAAATTCTACCACAAATTCTTGAGGTGAAAATAGATTGATTTTTACAACGTTGTCACGTTTCTATCAATAAATAGTAAAGAAAATTGAAAAATAAATTATTAACTTTGATACTCTGTATCTTCATAATTATCAACTTTTCTACTAAGGTAAGATAAGGCAAATCGTCGAGAATTTGTGGTAGAATTTTGTACAGACTTTTCGGGGACACCCTGTATAATAAATTAACGCAAAAAGTTCATGTAAATATGTATCTACGTCAAGTTTAAACAGTAGTTTTTTTTTTGAAATAGCAAAAAAAACCCAAAGCTATTTCAGTTGAATTTTGCAAATATGCATTTTTAATATAATCGACTACGTTCTTGGTGAGGACTTCGTAATTTCAGCATCTATTTTTTTTACTTTTACAAGAATGTACTCGATTTTAATGATTTTTTTTTATATACAATACAGTATTCCATAGAAAAGCTATTGAATAGGAAAAACTATCTTATTTTTCATTTTATCGAAAAAAGTTATTCTTGATAAAAATGTTTGCTGGTTCTTAAAGTAAGATTGGGATAGAAAAATTTAACATTTCTTGTACAGAGTTGGAAAAATTGAAAAACTTTAAATGGTACAAGAGTAAAGTGCACTTTTTTGTGAAGATGTGGAAATAAGTTACTAGGAAAAGTTGTTCAAAAGTAAAAGGAAGTATCTAATATAAATTTTCGAAAAACAACTTATTTTTATTTATTTATTAAATTTATTTTATACAAATTAAATTATTCCAAATTAACAATTCACAAATTTTAAAAGTTTATTTACTCAAACACACTGCTACTATATTGAGCACATGTTTTTAAACGGACAAGTATTCATCAAAATTTCTTTAACCTCATCTAATCTTTTTTTTTTTTCGAGTCGAGTAAAACGCTATATGTATGGTTTTGTGTTGGCTCTGTGTTTTTTTGGTCTCATTCAGTAGTAGACTTCGGTCAAATTTTGTAAATTTTTGCGTACCATCAAATAAAAGTACTCTCTTTTTTGGTGAATTCAAATTTACTGTATTGAATGCAGTGGTGATTAGTTATTTGCATATTAGTATTGATTTAGTCAGTGATATCTAAACTCAGTGGACACAAGAAAGTCAGCAAAAACACTACCTGGTATTTATGGATATTAGAACGGTTGCTTTATGAGAAACTATTCATTGAGAAATGTCGGAGTGCGCGAAATGTAAATCGAAGAGAAAGGACAATTTAGAAGGGTGTGAAGGCTCATGCTCTAAATGGTTTCATGCATCATGTGTAAATCTCAGTGAAAATGACTTTAAATTACTGGACAAATGCCATAACTTATTTTACATGTGCGATTTTTGTAAAGTCAATTGCACTGTTATTAATAAGCCTGTACATGACAAGCTATCTTCAAGCATTGACAAAATCAATGATAATGTGGCTAAATTATTATCTGAAGATCTTCATAGAAAATTATTTGATGATTTAAGTAAGGAACTTAACCTGAAATTAGATATGGTTGTCAATTCATTGAAAGCAAATTTTGATAGCTTACTCACTGCAAAACTAGAAACGAGTGTACTCCCGGAAAGCAAACAACCTATGGTATCCTATGCTAGTGTAACAAAACCAAGAACATCAGTTATCCTTCAACCAAAGGTTAACTTTCAGTCAATCATAACTACAAAGTCCGAGGTTTTACGTGCAATAGACCCAATTAATGCCAACATAAATATATCTAATGTAAAAAATGGCCGAAACGGTTCATTAGTTATTAGTTGTGACAACTCAGAAGAATCATCTAAATTTAAAGATCTTGCTACCAACCACTTGGGCGAAAAGTATGACGTTAAGCAACTACCCTCGTTGAATCCTCGAATAAGAATAGCCAACATGACGGAGCAATTCAATATAATCGAGTTTATAATAATAAAAATAAGTTACTTGACTTAATTCTACAGGGTGGTCCGAATTTTATGCAGGAAACTTCGAGGGCAGATAGATCTCTTTAAAATACTATGTGTTTGCCTTATAAACATAGGTCTGGAACGGCACCGTTTTAGAGATACAGGGTGTTGAAGTTGTCAAAAAAAATTGATTTTTTGTTTATATCTCCGGATTCTATTAACCGATCTCAATAAAATTTGGTACATATAATGTACGATAGTAGGCCTTATATTCCCTGAAATGTACAACTGGATAGGGGTCACCCCCTTTTTTACAAAAAAACTACGCCACTGCATTTTTTACACGTCATTGTAACTGATTTATATTTTAATGCACAAAATACGTAAAAAAG